AAATTTTAATTAATTTTTAAAAGCCTGCAGCAGCAACAAGTTAGTTACCATGGTTACACTAATAATTACACATAATTACCATGGTTACACTAGTAATTACACCCCATGGTTTAGCAACAAGTTATGAAGTTAGTCCTTCTGGACATTTTACTAAGAAACGTCTGATCATTATTTAATCAGCTGATTATAGGTGACATGAGACCAAATTGAGGTACTGGAAGTCAAAATCCCGGAGAAAATGGAAAATCATATTGTCCCAATCTCTGTCCCATTTTCAGTTTTTGAGGATGAAATTTCCAGGACCGAAATTTTACAGTTTTGACTGATTTTTTCACCTGCAACTAATTAGTAAGTCAACTATAGATGCCAAATGACACGATTGAGGTGCTGGAAGTTTGATTTCGGTCGGAGGAAGCCCACAGCAGACCGCTTGACAAGACGAAAAGTTGTATTTTCAAAATCCTGTCCCATTTTCAAATATGAAATTTCTTGAACACAAATTTGACAGAATGGATAAAATTTTTGCCTGGAAACCAATTAGTCATTTTATTGATGATGGTATGAAACCAAATCGAGGTACTGGGAGTTAAAATGCCGAATAAAATTGCAAAGTCATATTGTCCCAATCTCTGTCCCATTTTCAGTTTTTGAAGATGAAATTTCCAGGACCAAAATTTTACAGTTTTAACTGATTTTTTCACCTGCAACCAATTAGTAAGTCAACTATAGATGCCAAATGACACGATTGAGGTGCTGGAAGTTTGATTTCGGTCGGAACAAGCCCACAGCAGACCGCTTGACAAGACGAAAAGTTGCATTTTCAAAATCCTGTCCCATTTTCAAATATGAAATTTCTTGAACACAAATTTGACAGAATGGATAAAATTTTTGCCCGGAAACCAATTAGTCAGTTTATTGATGATGGTATGAAACCAAATTGAGGTACTGGGAGTTAAAATGCCGAATAAAATTGCAAAGTCATATTGTCCCAATCTCTGTCCCATTTTCAGTTTTTGAAGATGAAATTTCCAGGACCGAAATTTTACAGTTTTGACTGATTTTTTCACCTGCAACCAATTAGTAAGTCAACTATAGATGCCAAATGACACGATTGAGGTGCTGGAAGTTTGATTTCGGTCGGAGGAAGCCCACAGCAGACCGCTTGACAAGACGAAAAGTTGTATTTTCAAAATCCTGTCCCATTTTCAAATATGAAATTTGTTGAACACAAATTTGACAGAATGGATAAAATGTTTGCCCGGAAACCAATTTATCAATTTATTGATGATGGTATGAAATCAAATTGAGGTACTGGGAGTCAAAATGCCGAATAAAATTGCAAAATCATATTGTCCCAAGAGATGAAATTTCCAGGAGAGATGAAATTTCCAGGACCGAAATTTTACAGTTTTGACTGATTTTTTCACCTGCAACCAATTAGTAAGTCAACTTTAGATGCCAAATGACACGATTGAGGTGTTGGAAGTTTGATTTCGAGAGAAAGCATTAGAAAATGAAATCTAAATTTTCAAATTCTGTATCATTTTAAACGAATATAATATCTCAAAATGATCTTTAAAAGTTATCCAGTCAAAATTGCATCAAACAGTGCAAGTGACTATCATATTATGCATACACAACTCCAATATAAAGCGAATGAACTAAGAGATGATATTCCATAGTTACCATAGTTACACTACTAGTAACCATAGTTACACTACTAGTAACTATAGTTACACTACTAGTAACTATATATAGTTACACTACTAGTAACTATAGTTACACTAATAATTACACATAGTTACACTAATAATTACACATAGTTACACAACTAGTTACACATAGTTAACCACCTCATCCCCCCCCCAGACATCTCATTAGAAGAAGCGGAGATATACGATGAACTACTCAGTCCCAACTCCCTCCTCGGAGATATAATTCCCCCTGCTAACGATGATTTCTACGACGAGAAGAAAGATAAGCTGATACCCAAAGAGCTGCATGCATACAAGTTCTTCAAAGAAATACAGATAAACAAACAAAGGCAACATCCACTCAAGAAGCAGATGACTGTTAACTATTTCAGACCTTTTGAGAAAGAGAATATTGCTTTGGATTATGATACTCAAATGTCGGTAAGTTTACCAGCCAGCCAGAAACTAGTGCTCCTATTTAAATATACTCATATCCGTAGTATAGCTTATAGCACTTTTAACTTTACCCGTCTCTAACCGAACACATAATCTTTCTTTCTTATCTAACTAAACACTTTCTCTTTCTTTCTAAACTAACTAAACACTTTCTCTTTCTTTCTTCTGTAATCAAACACTTTCTCTTTCTTTCTTCTCTAATCAAACACTTTCTCTTTCTTTCTAAACTAACTAAACACTTTCTCTTTCTTTCTTCTCTAATCAAACACTTTCTCTTTCTTTCTTCTCTAACCAAACACTTTCTCTTTCTTATCTAACTAAACATTTGTTCTAACTTTCAGTTGGATGATAAAGAGTTAGTAAAGACTCCAGAGTTAGTTTTACAAATAGCCATGTACAAGGAAGCTAAGATGGTTAAAACTAAAGGAGTGTTCGTGTTAGCTTCTCAGACTATTGCAGAGTTTGTGGATGCTATTGACTGTACTATGGATCTAGCTCTGTGCTGGCAAGACAACTGGTTACCATAGTTACACTACTAGTTATTTAACTAATAACACACTATTTTCTTCAATTCTTCAATTTTCTTTACATTACGACAATCCACATTATTCTACTTGACATTTATAAGGTTACTTTCAGTAAGATCTAATTGTGGCTGTCTTCATTTAAGTGACAATCCACTTACACTAGTAGTTGCACTGCTAGCAACCATAGTTACACAACTAATTGCCATGGTTACCATTTCAGTGATAATCCAATGTTAGAAGACGTTGACTGGAACTCTAAAACCAGGACCTCCTCCGCAATCTTCCTGGACGACACTATTTATATAGACAAACGTAACCCCGGTTACGTGGATTACTCAGTGGAGATTATAAAGTTTCTAGAAATGCACGCGGGCAATTTAAACCGTGGTCAGCAGCCCATTACTAAAACTGAGGACATATCCGAAACAAGGTTTATGGATCTGGAGCTTCACCTGGGACTGCCCTATGTATTCATTCACCAGGGAGGCTGTGAACATTTGATAGTGATAGAGCAGATCAGACTGTTTCACCCGGGGGATGACCCGCGCGTAGTGAACTATCCGCGTCAAGTTTTCCGCAGCGGGCCGCGCAGATTATCCTGTGGTATTTGTAATGAGCGGTTTGCACGGTGGATCACTTTCAACGACGAAGACGCTCCCAGTAGTCCATGTTACTTTTGTTTTGAGTGTTTCTACATGCTCCACTACTCAGCAGACTGTGAGAGGCTGAATGATTTTAACGCGTATGTTTATTTGGAGAATATGGACGATAGGGTAGGTTACCAGGTGGCTTTGCAGAAGTTTAAAGACAGTGTTAAAGTACCGGAATTAGTCAAGAAAGAGGTAGAAAATAGTAGTTGATAAACTGGAGTTATTGTTTTTAGATGTTTTTAAAAGTTTGACCGAATATTCACAATTTTTAACTTAATTTTATTATTTACTTAATTTTATTATTTATAATTTTATTGACCGATATTTATCCCGCACAGTATTTTTAATTAGAAAAATTTCAGGATACACACCAATTAAAACAAAAATTTAATGCCTAATACTAGAATGCTGATTATAATTAACTGTATCGGTAGAGTAAAATAATTTGGCTGATAACATTTCATCATCAATAGCGACTATGATACGTCAATCTTGAATGAACTAAAAGTTACTAATGTTGCGAACAGTTCAACAGTCGCTTTGTTGCCATGGTAACCGCTGTCTGTCTAACTTTGCTCCTGCTCAGAGAATCATTGTAAGTAAAGTTCCATATTTTACAAGAATGACGGATAATAATCACAACACCTATAATCTAGGTATACTTTTAAAGCCTGACTTAGGGGTCGTTCATATATTACGTAATCACTTTTTGGAACATTTTTACCCCCCCCCCCTCCGTTATCAGTTTTACACATTGCTATTGTGTCAAAATTACACTAGCGGAATCATGCGGAACCCCCCCCCCCCCCCCCCCCCCCCAGCCTCCTCAGCTGATTACGTAATATTATGTGAACGACCCCTTATTAACGTTTTTATTCTCTAATTTCAGGGTCACGAGAAGAACCTCTGGGTGGAATACTCCGCTCTAGCTATAAAACACAAAGCAGTGAATCTAGGACAGGGGTTTCCTGATTTTACTCCGCCTGAGTTCCTCAAGGAGGCCTGGAGTGATGCTGTCAACGTGCCCAGTGCTCATTGGTTAGTCTTATTATTAGTCCTACTCGGTTAGATGTTTTCACTTCGAGTATGTTTTCACTTAGAGTATGTTTTCACTTAGAGTATGTTTTCACTTCGAGTATGTTTTCACTTCAAGTATGTTTTCACTTAGAGTATGTTTTCACTTAGAGTATGTTTTCACTTCGAGTATGTTTTCACTTCGAGTATGTTTTCACTTCGAGTATGTTTTCACTTAGAGTATGTTTTCACTTAGAGTATGTTTTCACTTAGAGTATGCATTATGATAACATTGAATAAAGTGCTCTTTGAAACTAACTCACTGGTCAGGTACACAAGAGGTCAAGGCTACCCCCGGCTAGTTAACGCACTGTCAGAAATGTACAGTCCCGAACTCGGACGTCAGATAGACCCCATGACAGAGATAATGACATCTGTAGGAGCGTACGAGTCTCTCTACGCTGCTCTTACTGCCTTTACTGATCCTGGGGATGAAGTTAGCGAGATATTATTTTTAATTAATTATTAAGTAAAACAACTTATATTAGTTATTAAATAAAACAACTTGTTATTATTTCAGTCCCGTGTCTTTGTCATCTTTAACAGAGTTGGTGGTATGAATGATGAATTGTAAGCTATTTACTGAAACTAAATAAATTTCACAAAATGTCATTATTATAATAATATGTTAAATATTTAAATATTTAAAACCACAATATTTCTCAGGTGATACTGATAGAACCCCACTTTGATAGTTACTCAGTAGTAGTGGAAGTTTGCGGAGGTAAGCCTGTGTACGTCCCCCTAAAACCAGACGGAGACCCTACAAACGCAAACAACTGGGTCCTGGACAAGGCTGAGTTTGAGGGAGCGTTCACCAGCAAGACAAAGTTACTGATGGTGAATACTCCTCACAACCCCATTGGCAAGTTGTTTAGTGCGGAGGAGATGGAGTTTATTGCAAGGACCTGCGAGAAACACAATGTTATCATCGTCAGTGACGAGGTTTGTTGTACCGTCTTTCTTCAAGGTTTCATTTGTAAAACCCCTTATTTTATATCCCATCCCTTAATCTTATCCCATCCCTTGGCCTTATCCCGTCCCTTATCCCACCCTTTTATCCCACCCCTTATCAGTATCCATTATCCCATCCCATCCGTTATCCCATCCCTTGTCCCATCCCTTATACAGTTATACCATCCCTTATCAGTAACCCTCATCCCATCCCTTATCCCATCCCTTATCAGTATCCCTTATCCCATCCCTTATCCCATCCCTTATTACTTTATTAAGTCCCCCGGAGGGGTATATAATTCCCCCTCACTAGGTATATGAGCGCTGTGTGTTCCCTGGGCACGTGCACCATCGTATAGCTAATGCGCCGGGAGGGTGGGAGCGCACTGTAACTGTGGGTAGCGCTGGGAAGAGCTTCTCAATGACAGGGTATAAGTTGGGATGGGCCATTGGGCCTGAGGAGCTGATCTCTAAACTGCAGACTGTACATCAGACTGCTGTCTACTCGGCTCCTACTATCTTACAGGGTAATTAACATAATACAGGGTAATTAACATAATACAGGGTAATTATTATATATATTTAATTATTATTTTAGTTAAAATAATTATGTTAACGTGATTCTTGCAGGGTCTTCAGTTTCCATTATTTTTCAAACACTTCTTCTTTTAAACCTTGAACTTAAGGAATTGTAGTGTTGCTTACTAACTCTTCTAGAGGTGATAGCGCGATGTGTAGAGAGGGAAATAGAACTTAAAGGACAAGAGCAATCTTATCACTCCCAATTATCAAAGGTATTTCACTGCTGAACTTAGTCTGTGATGGAAATTTTATTCTGCGAAATATGTTTAATTTCGTCCTCAACGTCTTGGTCGTTTATTTTCGTAATATTATGTTCTTTAAACTTACATTTTTTGTCGCAGTGTCTTATAAAATTTATTTAACCTATCCCCTCCGATTTCAACTAATACGCCGTACTGTGAATAAACGTATCCCGTTAGATAATGGAGAAAGGCTGTAGCGAGATAATATCAGCGTGCGGAGATGCGGGGTTGAGTGTGGTAGAGCCCTTTGGGGGTTACTTTATCCTGGTCGATACTTCACCTCTGGGATTGGAATTTGATACTTCTCAGGTATGTGGCGGAGATATTGGTGTATTATATTTGAGTATCGTTTGTATTAAATTTGTGCGGTTTTACTGTGGAGTTTTCATGCATTGAGCTTAAGCAGGTAGGCAATATTGTGGGCATTAAATATTACTGTTCTCGTGATATGCTTAACCCAGTTGTTCAATGTTCACATGTACTTTTAGTTAACATGTACCAACTACCCAGGTTGCATATGATATACAATGTGCCCAATGGTTAACGGAACACATGAAGTTAGCTGGTATTCCCCTGAGTCTCTTCTTCGGTAAAAACAAGCACCTTTCCGAGAAATACCTGCGTCTCTGTTTTGCTAAATCCGAACAGACTTTGAAGATTGGAGGTGATATTATTAGAGATATTGTGGCAAAGTGAACAACTTGTTTTAGAGTTTGATTAAATGAATTATTATTATTGAAAAGGGAGATAAAGTATAAAATACTTGCCAAACACAGGATTAATAAGAGGTATGTTATTTTTAGTGATTTTTAAGTTTATTTCAGAAATGCTGTAAAGACATATTATTATATTTTATATCCAAAAACTTTTTCTTTAGCCAAATTTCTTTTATTGTTATCTATAGTAATTGGAATTGTTGTGGTAATTGGCGCTAGGTACGGTGTGATGTTTGACTGTTTCACAGGAAGCATTTTACCAACAACAGTTACCAACCTGTGGCTGATTTTATAAAATGCTCTGAAAAGATAGGTTAAATTCTTAAGATATGTAAATCTATGCTTACCTTATCTCTTGAAGATCAGTGGACATTCAGAATCAGAACAGAATGGCCAGATTGTAGATTGCTCAAATGCCAGCTAAACCTGCCGAAAATGGTGCGACAAATGGCAAATTCTGTGAAGGCAGGTGGAAATGTTTACTTTTTGTAGCGCGCGGTGACGTTTTAGTGAGGTTAATATTATCCTTACCACTTGGTGCACAAACTTAATTCGCGCGCATTTTAGCGATTCGATCACGGACCACGGTATGTAGAATGTGCATGGCAGCATTTATCGTTTAAAATCATCCCACCGGCCATTTTGTAGAGATTCTAGTAAAACAATTACTATCCATTTTTGTAAAACAATAACGAATAAAAACAAAAGGTCGGAAGTACCAGAAAACTTAGCGACAACCTCATTTTTTCGGTAAATTTCTGTCCTAAGCTTCGACATGAACTTATCACCAGTCTAAATGGATTAATGCCCATTCCTTTGATGTTCTAGGTTGACTGTAGCATTTTACTTGCTAAATAAAAGGTCCCGAAATTGAAGCAAGCTTATTGGTCCTATTACTTTTGCACGCTAAATTGATACTGAAATAGCATCTTAAAATGTGTTCAAGTACCATCTGTATAATATTCTCAGGAAATTCCAAACCTATCCAGCGTCCTCATAGTTTTGATATCGGACAAATATGTTGTCTTAAGTAAAGAGTATTATTGAACACAGGAAATTTAAACAATTTTAAAAGTTAGTACGTAACATTAACAATAAGCCGACTCTAGAATCTGAAGATCAATATCACCAGATATAATGGATCTGTTAAAGTTCAATCTTAAACTTGACCGGGGAAGAATGGTGGGTCTGCTCCTAATCTGTCAACTTCCAACTCTATATTCTTAGATTCGTCAAGGGGCGTCCACTCCGGGCTCTCGTTTACAGCATCTTTCTTGTTTTCATTACGGTCTTTTTTACCTCCTTTCTTGGATGCCTTTCGGTTTGATTTTGCTGATTTCTTTTCTGCTTTTGCATCTTTTTTGGCGGATTGCTTATCTTGTTTGACTTCTTTTTTAGCTGCCTTCCATTCTTTCTTTTCATCTTTCTTTGCTGCCTTCTGTTCTTTCTTTTCGTCTTTATTATCTGCCTTTAGTTCTTCTTTTTCAACTTTCTTCGCTGCCTTCTTTTCTTTCTTTTCATCTTTCTTCGCTGCCTTCTGTTCTTTCTTTTCATCTTTATTATCTGCCTTTAGTTCTTCTTTTGTGTCTTTCTCCGCTGCCTTCTTTTCTTTCTTTTCATCTTTTTTCGCTGCCTTCTGTTCTTTCTTTGCATTTTTCTTCGCTGCCTTCTGTTCTTTCTTTGCATTTTTCTTCGCTGCCTTCTGTTCTTTCTTCGAATTTATCTTCGCTGCCTTCTGTTCTTTCTTTGCATTTTTCTTCGCTGCCTTCTGGTCTTTCTTTGCCTTTTTCTTTGCCGCTTTTTCTTCCTTCCTTTCTGCTTTCTTGGTTGCTTTGTTTTGTTTTCTTTCGGCTTTTTCGGCCTTCTTAGCAGCCTTTTTATATGCTTTCTCTTGCTTTCTCTTTCTCCTCTCATTCTCTTTTTCATCGCTTAATCTTTTCTTAACTTCATCTTTTCTTAACACTTCTATTTCCCATGCAGCGTTGGCTTCTTCCATCTCTTTGTTAACTGAAGATAAAAATGATTTTTATTGGTTCTAATATTCCAAAATTACTAGCGCCTCTCAATCTTTCAAATCCCTTCGTTTCCTCTTGTAGGAATTACAGTATATTACATTATGTGTTTATAAGTATAAGTGTTCATAATGTTACAAAACTATAATAACATGATATTGAACTCACTTGCGACACCGTGTGGGTTGCACTGGCAAGCGTACGGTCTATTCCAGTCATTCCCATAAGAATCGTCCCACTCACCCCAACGACTAACAGCTGCGTAATCTTGGCCTGATAGAATTGGGGCCATATTAATATTCAGTAATACTCAGTAATATTCAGAAATATTCAGTCAGACTGTTTTTTGTGTGCGATGTTCGTATGTATAGTATAACATTGATAATCTAGTTCCAAATCAAAACAAGTGATTGAAAATAGAAGTTTTCCAAATAAAACAGGATCTTACTTCCTTGTTCTTTAGTTTTTTTGTTGTCGTGCTGATTTTTGGCCCAAGGTATTGAGAACTTGATGGGTTCCCCATCATAAAACTCAAATTCTCCCGAATCCTTCAAATCTGTCGCACCAATCCAAACCTGTGAGAAGTTTACAAGTTTACCATCGTTACAAACTGTTATTTGCAAAGCCAACGGCCTTGGCTTATAGACAACTGTGAAATGTGGACGATAAACTGCAATGTTTATATCGGAAAATCACCAAGTAACTTCATGTCATTACTCTTTTACACAAAATTACACACAATAAAAAAAAACAGGTATTTCTGACGCTCATACCCAATTCTCGTGATGGAACTTCTTATCGTACCGATGATCGTCATAAACTGTTTTAACCGCCTCCACTAGCAGGTCGTTTTCTGCTTTGTTTCTGATCTTGGCAAAATAGAATCCGCGTCTCTCGCAGTCTGACTTGGCTTCGTGCCATGTTTTAAGCTCAGGGAATACAATGTAGTGGACCGGGACTGAAATATTTTAATTAATTTTCTAAAATGAGTTAACTCACTCAGGCTCACATTCTTTGCCTGATTGGAACTTTCCATTTGCTCTAAGAAAATGAAAGGTGCTGAAATTATCTTAAAATGCTGAAATTATGCGAAATAATTTCATCGAAAAGCTCTAATAATAATATTAATAAGGTTAATAGTAATAAAAGACATTTAATTAAAGAGTTTACCATTGAATTTGCAGATGTAAGGATGGAGTGCTGACTTGACCTTGTCATCCCAAACCCCACTCGAGTCCCCTTCTAGAACTTTCCTAAAGATTGTAGCAGCGGTCTGGTAATCATCCTCAACTTTTAACATGTCCGGCTGGATCTGTTCGTCTGAACTCCTCCTCTGAGAGTGGCATTAGTTTTTAACAGTAAGTGTTGTGGAGGATTTAGCGGCTCGCTTACACAAACCAACATTTTTATCTCTTTTGAAAATAAATGAACAGAAAACTTGAACCCAGGTTAACTGAAACTCGCTGCTTTGCTGGAGGATCAGGAATGACAAAAAGATCTCCTCTCTGTGGGGTGGTCACACAATGTGATGGCCTTGTTAAAGCTTAACAAATCTCAACATAGGTGACATAGGTTAACTGACCGTCATCCAGTTTCCGTAGCTAGTATGGTCGAGTGTAGTGCCGTCAGTCCACTCCCAGTCCTCCTGCATCCACACCAACTTAGCAGCTCCTTCTGGCCGGGCCTCTGTCTTCTTCACTTTCTCTAGCCCTATCCAGGCCCAGTTAGAGGCACCTTCGTATCTTGTTCCCTGTGTACTTAGTGTTAAGTATTTTTGTGAAGTAAACTATGCACGTTTAACGTTCTGCCTTATTTTAACGTGCTATTAATTGAATTATTAATTGATTTATTAATTGATTAGTCGGTCTACTAATTGACTAATTGATTTAAAACCCCAAAAACTAACGAACCTCAAGTTCTTCTCCCCCGTAGGCGTATTGAAACATGAGAGTAGCGATCTTATTCTCCATTTCACTGTGCAAACTAGCCAGCTTCCTGCCTCCTGGTGTTGGGAAGCCTGGACAACATTTGCTTTAATTATTATTAGCTAGGTACAAGGTAGGTCACTAGGTATGTAAATGTAATCAAATTTATCAATTTTTAACGAAAATATTTTCACAGTAATACTAATGTGTTTTAGCTAAAAAAAATTATAGTCCCCGCAATTTTTAAGTTTAGAGGAATAACTAACCAATCCAAGAGCTGTTTTCACATTTCTGTTTCGCTGTTTCGTAGTCACTCAAATCCGTATGAACAGAAAACCCGCATGCTGCAATTATCTCCGTAATTAACGAGTTAATCACGATAATCAGAATAACTATGAAGGGGTACAAACAGTACAACTAGAAGACTTAAATTAAGTGCACCCCTATTTACCTATTAGGCACGTACCCCTATATATTTGGCACTAGGCGCCCTATTTGGCACTAGGCGCCCTATTTGGCACTATGCGCCCTATTTATGATTTAGCACTAGGCACCCCTATTTGGCACTAGACGCCCTATTATTATTTGGCATGGCACTAGGCGCCCTATTTGGTACTAGGCGCCCTATTTGGCACTAGGCGCCCTATTTGACACTATGCGACCTATTAGTATTTGGCACTAGGCACCCCTATTTGGCACCAGGCGACAGGCATTGTTCGATTTTGCAGACCTTGTAATCAAACGCAACATATTAAAATACATTAGAAAAGTAAGCATAACTTACTAGCGTGAGCGCTGAATTGCTCAGTAGATTTGTCTAATCTACTCAGCTCATCTCGGGTGTTCTCTATCAAGGGTGTCCAGATAGCGTTCCTTATCTTTTCCTCCAGCCTCATCTCCTGCTCCTCCTCCTCTCTGCAGAGTACAGTTTAAAGTTTTGTTAAGTTCGATTATTTAGTAATAATGAATAAATAAAAATCTAGTCGTGTTGTCAATATTATATATATACATTATATGGAGTCGTTAACATGTTACGTAATCACTTGTTGGACAATTTTAACCCCCTCCCCCAGCTCCGTAATCAGTTTTACACGTCATAGCTATTGTGACAAAATTACACTATCGTAATCATTTGGAAACCCTCTCCTCCCTCGGCTGATTACGGAATATGTGAACGACTCCATATTGTTCTGTCTTTCTTCCATCTCTCTTCCATCTTTGTTTCTGTCTAGTTCTAATGTACCGTCACAATAGTGACTTTAATATAACGTTTGAAGATTATCATTGATCCGACTCGATCACTTAATATAAATCACTAAACATATTTATTTATTTATGATAAACATTACTATTAGCCTATAGTTATGTTTTACAATACAATTAGCCGTGTTTTTATTTAGAAAAGTATAGAAAAAATGTTGAATAATATTATTTATACTTTTATAGTAGAATAAGCAACTTACGTTAGGGAGATGGCAGATGCCACTGCGAAGAGAACGATCAAAAGCAACAACATTATTCACCGGACTTACTAACTAAATCCTGCGTTTCTCCTATAGTAGATAGTTGCTGTTTGAGAGCCGTACTTTTAATCTCATGGAATTAGTGTTAAAATCTATGGCAGTTTCTCGGCAGATTGTGCACATCATTTTGCGGAACTTCTTTTCGATTACTTTTACATCACATTGGATCACGGTTACAGGTTAGGACTGTGAAGATTGGAGAACTTGATGATGTCTGACGGAAAACAACTTCATTGTTCAACTTTGCTGCACAAAGTCTGGGCGTGGTTTATTTAATTACTTCGACTGTTGTGTTACAATGGTAACTATGGTAACTATGCAGGTAACTATGGTAGGTGTTGTCGACGGTCACAGATGCAAAATATAAGGGCTGTGGGTGCGGAATCGCACTATTGACCGCATAATACCGCATTATTCGTCCTAGTATCAGAGTTATGTACTTCAACTTGGTAATATTAATAACGACTATGTCTAGGTTCAAACGTTTTTTCATGACGTAAAATTAAATACTTTTAAACTCAAGAAAAACATATTTTTCTTCCGAAAAATATTCCCAATAAAGTTGTTTACTATTATTATCAGATTGTAATAAATGCATTGACTTTTAATACTATCGATATTTTATTTAAACAAAGGAAAAAGAGTGAATTTATTAAATACTTTTCAAACTTTACAGAGTACAGCAATTACAACGTATGAAATAAACTCGAATAGATTATTGCCCCCGTCTGTAAAATCTGACGGGAGACCAAACACGGTACTGCACAGTAAAACGTGCCCGCAATTACATGGCCCCGGCCGATATGATTTTTAAAAGTGTGAAACAAATTGTGATAAAATAAATGTGTGGTGAAGCTAATGTGAAACAGTTCAAATTTCTTCAGACGAGGCTGATACACTGTTCTTATCAGAGCTGACAATCTTATTGTTCCTTATGAAATGAACTCTGTTAGGCTCTGTTTTCCTCTTCTCTTTCAATTCCTCCCAGAGCTTCTTGTAAGCTCTCCTTTCTTCCACTGATCTGTCTGGGCAAATGTAGATACTTTTATAGCCCTCTTTTGTGCGTAGTAGTTTCGCTTTTCGCAGCACCTGAGTAACCATATCAGAGCTATTTAGAGATAGTTTAGTAGGTCGTATTAATGTGCCGGCTCTCTTCAAACCAACTCTACAACAGTCACGAAATGAAGGTTTCTCGTTTATCTCACCAAGAACTTCAGCAACTTTGTTTTCTAACTTCTCGCCGTTGGATTCACTTATTCCGTAGATTACGACGTTTCTGCTTCTTTCATCCTTTTCAGCTATTGTCTTAACTGCAGTACAGATCTTCTTTGGCGTAAGAGCAGCTGCACAAGTCTTCTTCAGGGCAGAAGAATATGATTTCATCTCTGTCTGCACAGTTGTTTGGACAGACTTGAGTTCTTCGTCCTTCTTTTCAATGAGCTGCTTCTGCAAATCAATGACAGTTTTCTGCTCCGCGATTAATGAAATGTTCTGTTTATCTACTCTCTCCGCAGCCATTTGCAAATGAGGAGCTGCATAACGATTCAAAATGAAACAAACAGTTTGCAGCCAATCACACAGTTTTTCTTTCGAAACTGATTGCTTGTTCAGGTTTTTCAATACTAGATCTCCGTATTCCTTAACATCCAGTTCATGGCACATTTCATTGAAAACACTGTTTGTAGCTCTCGCTACCTGATCTGCATGTCTGGCACTAAACAGATCATCATTATCGGGGTCATCGACCAAATGCTTCGTATGTTCATGGTATGAGTACTGCATCGTGTATATTCCAATGTACAGTTCTTGACAAAAGAATAACTTTTCAAGCTTGATTGTAATCCCACGACAGATTGGAATTTAGTCACTTTATTCACGTTAGTCGTTTATACACAGATACACATATAATAATGTGTTGGAATGGTATGTTGTAATTTGTAAAGTTATAATAATATTGAATACTCTCTTGTCTATTATTATTACATCGAGATGGCAGGGCCTACTCTCATGCTGTCTATAGGTGATGATTAACTCTGAAAAACTGGGGACAACTGGGGAATGATCCCAGAACCTCCACATATCGTCATATCGCGTGCCTTGCTTTACCTATTGATGTTATTAAATTATTATTAATTATTAAATCAAAGTTCTAAACAAGGGATAGTTTAAAAAACAACGCCCAAGTCTAATCTTTCCCTAAAACAAAAACTAAAAATTAAAAACTTCATTGCAATTTCCGCCAATATCTCTTGTCATAACTCAAATTACGGAGATAATGCAGGTCAAAGATATTATTTAAATAAAGATTTCTTTTACATAAATCATGCACAATCAGCGAGAATAGATTGCTTTGGGGTCTTCCTCTTCTCCCTGGTAAGTCCAGTGTATTGATGGCAAAAATGAGGGAAGAAAACGCTGGTCCGTCAATAGGACCCCGCAAAACATGTCCTAACATTCTCCACCGACTACGGGCCACTTTTTCTGACAATGGTTCAGCATTGCAGCGTTTATACAAGTTTTTGTTGGAGATGACTCCTGGGTACTTTATATTCAAAATAGTGCGAAGATGTCTGCGGTGAACAACATCTAGTTTTTCAAGGAATATTTTGGGGACGGCCCAACAGGATGAGTTGTACATAAGAACCGATACGACTAAAGCATTATACAGTATTAGACGTTTGTTTAGGGGCAGTTTATCACTCCAGGCCTTCTTGTAATTGTTAAAGGCAGCATATCCCAGGTTTATGCGACGCTGAATATCAGCTTTGCTACACAAGACGGACCCTAGAGTGATACTTTTCCTCCATGCTTCATTCCCCGACACTAATTTTCCATCACTGTCGACTTCACCCGTACTAGCTAAATAAACATGAGTGAAGTCCGTTTTGTCTTCATTGACAAAGAGGTTCCATTTCTCGAGTATAGCTGTTGCCTGGGGCAAAATAGCTCTCAAGTTGTCTTCCTCTTCATCATTGAAGTCAACATCATCAGCATATTCAGTGTCAAGTGGAAGGCCAGCAATAGTAATCGGGGGGATCGGCCTATCTAAACTGATTGTTATAGTCCATCTAAGTTCATTCAAAGCACCAGCCAAGACAAGGGTGAACAGACAGCCGGATAGACAGTCACCCTGGAAAGCTCCAAGGAGACTTAAAAACTCGGCTGAAAGAACTCCATTTACCTTCACCCGTAGCTTTGTGTTGGACAACAACAACCGGACAATCCTCAGCTCATCCTCAGTACAGCCACACAGTTTCAGGAGTTCAAGAATCGTAGTGCGTTTGATCGTGTCAAATGCACTAGACATATCAATGCCCATGCGATGATACTCCCATTTCTTTCTTTGGACAACTGACAGTAGAACTCGCTGACACCAAACAATATCAGCACAAGAACGAGCGCGTTTATATGCGCACTGCCATGGACCAGTGAAGGCGTTCACTTTTTCTTCTATCCTTTTAAGAGTAGCCATAGACAGAATTTTTCTGGCTGCATTGGACAAGGTGAGTGGACGTAAATTCTTCAGAGGACCAATAGGTTTTTTTGGCTTCTGTAAGGGTGTTATAGTAGCCTCTCCAATGGAAATGGGGAAAGTATGTGTCTCGAAACAACTGTTGATGATTCCAGCATAATGTTCATGGACTGTACTATTAGAGTACTGATGTAATAATAATAAATAAATGTTTCACAGCTTGGCAATTGATCGGTGTAGTTGGTGTTGTACAGTGTACACGAGCGTGCTAAATCACTCTACAGTCGATCTTCGAGATTTTTCTAAAACGGCACCCGGCAGTTGAAACCAATTTGAATCGATGTATTTTTGGACGCTGATTTCGAATCAACCCCCATGACAATGACATAGGGTTAAAATGCTCCCCTGGCGAGATATTAGCGAAAAACTGTCTAGATCACGTGATATGACCGTATAAGGAAGCTGGTCTAATTTTTGTTAGGGTTAGAGTTTCAGTGTATGCTTTTCTTAAAGATTGGGTTAGGGTTAGGGTTGGGATCAGATTAGAGGACTAGGATTTCGAATAGTCATTTAGGGCCAGCTAGAGAACGTGTTTAAAAAGTCACGTGACAGTCGAGTGTAGAGTGATTACCTTATCGGACCTTATTTGGACGGACATTACTTGAACGCTGGAGGCCCTAGCGTTCATCTTAATGTCCGTTCAAATAAAGTCCGTTCAATTAATGTCCGTCCAAGTTAAAGTCCGTTGACATTTTTTCAAAAAATTTTCCATTTCGAACTTTTTGTCCAGAATATGACAACTTTAAGAACTTTATTGTGCCGTAAGTTAACGACGGAAAGGTTCTCCTTGGTCTTCCGGAGGCACAGAAAACTTTACTTGTTCCAGCCTCTAGATATTACGGTAAATCGTGTTGCCAAGGACATTGTCCGACGTTGTTATAGCTCATATTACTCAGGGGAGGTAATGAAACAGATAAGTGATCGGAAAGCTCCACGAGATGTTAAGGTTAACCTTAAGTTGTCTAAGATAAAACCACTTCACGCCGAAGGGCTTGTAAAAGTTAACACTGAAATGCAGGACCGGGGTAGTTTGATAAAAAAAGGTTTCCATATAAAAGCTAGAATTCACTGATGCTTTAAGCATGGACTATTTCATGCACGAAAACCCATTTGATGAAGATGATATGTGATATTAGAAACTGATAATGTACACATATTTTAACATTTTTACTGCTCAATGACTGCTTTTCTTACTTACTGTATAAAAAATGGATTTAAAAATCATTTGCTGAAATTAAAAAAACGTCAAATTTTTTTTTTTAATTCGGATTTTTGATGGTTTTGAATGCCTTCGAGCGTTCATATTAATGTCCGTTCATAATTATGTCCGTTCATGTAATGTCCGTCCAAATAAGGTCCGATAAGGTAATCATCACCCCAGTGTACACACTGCACTGATAATAATATCACGTTGTACGTGTAATGTAAATAGTGTGGATGTATGCGAATATATAATCTACAAACTGAATACTAGTCTATATAATACTATATAATAGTCACGAGTGAAACTCATTGAAAGACATAACATAAGACACCTTGTATTGTAGCTTAAATTTAATTATGTGTAAAAAAGAACATTTGTGTTAGGCAACGTTATTATACAGGGTGTCCCAAAAAATTCGCCCCATTGAGAAAGCCTCCTCATTTCCTCAATTTTCCTTTAATGGTACTCATGTCTTAGTATGTTTACCTAAAAGGGTTGGGACTGGGAGATTTGTTTGTGACTTCTGAAAACTTAAGCAAACTATTTTGCCAAGAGGAAAAGGACTTTTGTCATGAATTTAATTGTAAACTGTTCCTTTTTGTTTCATCTAACTTCCGATCAACGCAGTTAATGCATGAAACCCAAAAATGAACAATAGGCCGAATTTGCATAAATTATGCAATTTTTTATTCGAAAGTCGCTAGTCGTTGATTTTCTAGCTTTAATGGTCGCACATGTTCCTTGATAAGTGTACTGACAGATCAAGCTAGCCAAAAATTCAAAATAATATGAAAATAGGGCAAAATTAAGCCGTTGAAGGTTAAAAAAGTTGTATCACGTGGTGACCCCCACGGTCGCTTCACTGTAGAGTTTCGACGATACAGGGGGAGCCGCGCACTCGTGCGCGGCGGGTCATACAACGTATGACAAAAAAAGGGTGTGGCCCAAAAATGCCCCCAAAACATGCTGGACCATATCAAAAACCTCCATTTCAGTTCTCATTGTGAAGAAGACTTTCAATTGTGTCTGTATATGCCTGGTTTATAACTTGGGGCAGACTAAACGTTTCAAAACTAGGATTCCATCATGGACGAAAACGATCACCTATTCTGGGATCACACCAAGATTTCTTCGCATATCTTTATCATCGAAAAAATGTTGCCCATCAAGTTCATATGAGACTCCCAATGGTCCTAAAAAAGTCTCCTAACCCTTTAGAAAATCATACTAAGAGATCAAAACCAATGAGTTAAACTGAGAAAATTAGGAGGGTTTTTTATTACACCCTGTGGCTGTACTACTGACTACGCTGCTGAATAATTCAACCTGCGCGAACTGAAAATTTGGGAATTGTTTAGCTTAATTGCAGTGCTTTTTGACTCAAAATTTGTCGCAGTAAAAAAAACGTTCCAGGTAATACTAATGAGGTAATAGGCATGAGGTGTGGAATCGCACTATTTACAAAAATGACCGCACCTACATTGTACATGTTGCCTTCATTGACGGAGTCAACCATGTCAGGAAATGAATGTTCACTAGCTGGATTGTTCTCAAAATATTGTCTCGCAAGGCATTCCACATTACTAGGATTGTCACCAACATATTATCTACAAGGTACACGCTTAGGTACTGATAAAATCATGGACAATCATTGGAAGTTGGAACTTATACTTATAGTTTCATCATTTAATCCTTGTCATACGTTGTAGACCTGCCACGCACGAGTGCGCGGCTCACAGGATCGAGGGCCAAAGTGCAAAGAAACTGCTGCTAACTGCTGCTAACTGCTGCTAACTGCTGCTAACTGCACTGCTAACTCAAACTGCTGTTAAGTTAGCAGCAGAAAATTATACCAACTTCCTTATATGGTCATATCACGTGATCGAGACAGTTTTTCGCCGATATCTCACCCGGGGAGCTTAACCCTATGACTATAAGTATGTCATGGGGGTGAATTGGAATCAGCGTCCAAAAATACATCGATTCTAGTTGGTTTCAACTGTCAGGGGCGCTTTTAACACGGTCGCATAGACTCCAAGGTTGATTTTGCAGAATATGAAAGTTTTTGTGGATTATATTTAATCGGTCACGTCAAACTCAACATGATGAGAATGTCATAGTCATTATTTTATTAAATTAATACTATTATAAGTGTGAAGTAAAACAAAAATTAAACATTCAGAGATTTAATCGAGTTTTTCAAAAATGTTTTGCTTTACTTAGCTTTTCAATTCAATTTCAACAAATGTTCCAATGCACAATAATGAATAAGCAACACAAATGCCTTTTAAGCAAAGTACATTTAATCCCCCGCAGCATATTAAAATTGTTTATTATTAATTTCCAGTGTCCAGCTCTTTTTAGGATTCCGATTACTCCTCTAAGTTTCGTTTTCTTCATCACTTAAACTTCTCCGGAAATCCTATTTCTGCAAATTTTCCCTCTTCTGCCCGGAGGACACATTTGTTGTCGCTCCTCTATCTCCACAAGTCCCTGCATTCTCCGTCTGCAGTGTCTGCCCTCCCTCCCTCTCGGACACATAGACTGTCGCTCTTTCAACTCCTCTACCTCCTCTACCTCCTCTACTGCTGTGTTTGTCTCCTCTACCTCCTCCACTGCTGTGTTTATCTCCTGTATATCGGTCAGATCTATCACAGAGTCGTCTTCAGCACTGAAACAGTGTTAATGTAAAGGAAGGAAAACAGCTGTTAGTTATGGAGTTCGGGCATTATATAGTGTACTGGGGGTCGTTTACTTATATATTGAGGGGGGGGGGGGGGGGGTTAGCGAGGTGTTTACTTATTTATTGAGGGGGGGGGGGGGGGGTTAGCGAGGAGTTTACTTATTTATTGAGGGGGGGGGGGTTAGCGAGGAGTTTACTTATTTATTGAGGGGGGGATTAGCGAGGAGTTTACTTATTTATTGAGGGGGGGGGGGGGGGGGGTTAGCGAGGAGTTTACTTATTTATTGAGGGGGGGGGGGGGGGGGGTTAGCGAGGAGTTTACTTATTTATTGAGGGGGGGGGGGGATTAGCGAGGAGTTTACTTATTTATTGAGGGGGGGGGGGGGGGGGGGGTTAGCGAGGAGTTTACTTATTTATTGAGGGGGGGGGGGGGTTAGCGAGGAGTTTACTTATTTATTGAGGGGGGGATTAGCGAGGAGTTTACTTATTTATTGAGGGGGGGGGGGGGTTAGCGAGGAGTTTACTTATTTATTGAGGGGGGGGGTTAGCGAGGAGTTTACTTATTTATTGAGGGGGGGGGGGGGGTTAGCGAGGTGTTTACTAATTTATTGAGGGGGGGGAGGGGGAGCTAGCGAGGAGTTTACTTATTACGTAACCCAGCTGCGAGGAGCACCTCGCCCGATGTTTTGTCAAACATACCTGACATCTTGAAGAGTAGTGAGAACAAAAAGGGTCACACTCAGAATAACAGTCAGCATATTGGCTAACAAAAGACAAGGGTAAAAGGGTTGCGCAAAGTATAATGCTGGGAACTGGAGATTCAGGACGGAACTGTACGCTTTTAAACAACTGATCCAGGACTGTGATATAAATCCGATCAAAAAGTAATCTCATGGGATTCACATTACAATAACTACTAGTACAATAACTTGATAGCTATGGAACTTCTGGAGCGTTTACTCGTTAGAGAGCAGATTTACAATTTCTTTTCTTCAGGAATATGGGTAAATTCATTAAATATGCGATATGAATTAGATTATTATGCGTGATCTGCGTACAGTACACTGATTGGTTAATAGCAGTCACGTGTTCTGCGTACAGTACACTGATTGGTTAATAGCAGTCACGTGTTCTGCGTACATTACACTGATTGGTTAATAGAAGTCATGTGTTCTGCGTACAGTACACTGATTGGTTAATAGCAGTCACGTGTTCTGCGAACAGTACACTGATTGGTTAGTTGCAGTCACGTGTTCTGCGTACAGTACACTGATTGGTTAATAGCAGTCACATGTTCTGCGTACAGTACACTGATTGGTTAATAGCAGTCACATGTTCTGCGTACAGTACACTGATTGGTTAATAGCAGTCACGTGTTCCGCGTACAGTACACTGATTGGTTAATAGCAGTCACGTGTTCTGCGTACAGTACACTGATTGGTTAATAGCAGTCACGTGTTCAGCGTACAGTACACTGATTGGTTAATAGCAGTCACGTGTTCTGCGTACAGTACACTAATTGGTTAATAGCAGTCACGTGTTTTGCGTACAGTACACTGATTGGTTAATAGCAGTCACGTGTTTTGCGTATAGTACACTGATTGGTTAATAGCAGTCACGTGTTCTGCGTACAGTACACTGATTGGTTAATAGCAGTCACGTGTTCTGCGTACAGTACACTAATTAGTTAATAGCAGTCACTTGTTCTGCGTACAGTACACTGATTGGTTAATAGCAGTCACGTGTTTTGCGTATAGTACACTGATTGGTTAATAGCAGTCACGTGTTTTGCGTATAGTACACTGATTGGTTAATAGCAGTCATGTGTTCTGCATACAGTACACTGATTGATTAATAGCAGTCACGTGTTCTGCGTACAGTACACAGATTGGTTAATAGCAGTCACGTGTTCTGCGTACAGTACACTGATTGGTTAATAGCAGTCACGTGTTCTGCGTCCAGTACACTGATTGGTTAATAGCAGTCACGTGTTCTGCGTACAGTGCACTAATTGGTTAATAGCAGTCACGTGTTCTGCGTACAGTACACTGATTGGTTAATAGCAGTCACGTGTTCTGCGTCCAGTACACTGATTGGTTAATAGCAGTCACGTGTTCTGCGTACAGTACACTGATTGGTTAATAGCATTCACTTGTTCTGCGTACAGTACACTGATTGGTTAATAGCAGTCACGTGTTCTGCGTCCAGTACACTGATTGGTTAATAGCAGTCACGTGTTCTGCGTACAGTACACTGATTGGTTAATAGCAGTCACATGTTCCGCGTACAGTACACTGATTGGTTAATAGCAGTCACATGTTCCGCGTACAGTACACTGATTGGTTAATAGCAGTCACGTGTTCTGCGTACAGTACACTGATTGGTTAATAGCAGTCACGTGTTCTGCGTACAGTACACTGATTGGTTAATAGCAGTCACGTGTTCTGCGTACAGTACACTGATTGGTTAATAGCAGACACCTGTTCTGCGTACAGTACACTGATTAGTTAATAGCAGTCACGTGTTCTGCGTACAGTACATTGATTGGTTAATAGCAGTCACGTGTTCTGCGTACAGTACACTGATCGGTTAATAGCAGTCATGTGTTCTACGTACAGTACACTAATTGGTTAATATAGCAGTCACGTGTTCTACGTACAGTACACTAATTGGTTAATAGCAGTCACGTGTTCTGCGTACAGTACACTGATTGGTTAATAGCAGTCACGTGTTCTGCGTCCAGTACACTGATTGGTTAATAGCAGTCACGTGTTCTGCGTACAGTGCACTAATTGGTTAATAGCAGTCACGTGTTCTGCGTACAGTACACTGATTGGTTAATAGCAGTCACGTGTTCTGCGTACAGTACACTGATTGGTTAAAAGCAGTCACGTGTTCTGCGTCCAGTACACTGATTGGTTAATAGCAGTCACGTGTTCTGCGTACAGTACACTGATTGGTTAATAGCATTCACTTGTTCTGCGTACAGTACACTGATTGGTTAATAGCAGTCACGTGTTCTGCGTACAGTACACTGATTGGTTAATAGCAGTCACGTGTTCTGCGTACAGTACACTGATTGGTTAATAGCAGTTACGTGTTCTGCGTACAATACACTGATTGGTTAATAGCAGTCACGTGTTCCGCGTACAGTACACTGATTGTTTAATAGCAGTCACGTGTTCTGCGTACAGTACACTGATTGGTTAATAGCAGTCACGTGTTCTGCGTACAATACACTGATTGGTTAATAGCAGTCACGTGTTCCGCGTACAGTACACTGATTGTTTAATAGCAGTCACGTGTTCTGCGTCCAGTACACTGATTGGTTAATAGCAGTCACGTGTTCTGCGTCCAGTACACTGATTGGTTAATAGCAGTCACGTGTTCTGCGTACAGTACACTGATTGGTTAATAGCATTCACTTGTTCTGCGTACAATACACTGATTGGTTAATAGCAGTCACGTGTTCCGCGTACAGTACACTGATTGGTTAATAGCAGTCACGTGTTCTGCGTACAGTACACTGATTGGTTAATAGCAGTCACGTGTTCTGCGTACAATACACTGATTGGTTAATAGCAGTCACGTGTTCTACATACAGTACACTGATTGTTTAATAGCAGTCACGTGTTCTGCGTACAGTACACTGATTGGTTAATAGCAGTCACGTGTTCCGCGTACAGTACACTGATTGGTTAATAGCAGTCACGTGTTCTGCGTACAGTACACTGATTGGTTAATAGCAGTCACGTGTTCTGCGTACAGTACACTGATTGGTAAATAGCAGTCACGTGTTCCGCGTACAGTACACTGATTGGTTAATAGCAGTCACGTGTTCTGCGTACAGTACACTGATTGGTTAATAGCAGTCACGTGTTCTGCGTACAGTACACTGATTGTTTAATAGCAGTCACGTGTTCTGCGTACAGTACACTAATTGGTTAATAACAGTCACGTGTTCTGCGTACAGTACACTGATTGGTTAATAGCAGTCACGTGTTCTGCGTACAGTACACTGATTGGTTAATAGCTGTCACGTGTTCTGCGTACAGTACACTGATTGGTTAATAGCAGTCACGTGTTCTGCGTACAGTACACTGATTGGTTAATAGCAGTCACGTGTTCCGCGTACAGTACACTGATTGGTTAATAGCAGTCACGTGTTCTGCGTACAGTACACTGATTGGTTAATAGCAGTTACGTGTTCTGCGTACAGTACACTGATTGGTAAATAGCAGTCACGTGTTCCGCGTACAGTACACTGATTGGTTAATAGCAGTCACGTGTTCTGCGTACAGTACACTGATTGGTTAATAGCAGTCACGTGTTCTGCGTACAGTACACTGATTGGTTAATAGCAGTCACGTGTTCTACGTACAGTACACTGATTGGTTAATAGCAGTCACGTGTTCTGCGTACAGTACACTAATTGGTTAATAGCAGTCACGTGTTTTGCGTACAGTACACTGATTGGTTAATAGCAGTCTAGTGTTCTGCGTACAGTACACTGATTGGTTAATAGCAGTCACGTGTTCTGCTTAAATTACATTGATTGGTTAATAGCAGTCACTTGTTCTGCGTACAGAACACTGATTGGTTAATAGCAGTCACGTGTTCTGCGTACAGTACACTGTTTGGTTAATAGCAGTCACGTGTTCTGCGTACAGTACACTGATTGGTTAATAGCAGTTACGTGTTCTGCTTAAATTACATTGATTGGTTAATAGCAGTCACGTGTTCTGCGTACAGTACACTGATTGGTTAATAGCAGTCACGTGTTCTGCGTACAGTACACTGATTGGTTAATAGCAGTCACGTGTTCTGCGTACAGTACACTGATTGGTTAATAGCAGTCACGTGTTCTGCGTACAGTACACTGATTGGTTAACAGCAGTCACGTGTTCTGCGTACAGAACACTGATTGGTTAATAGCAGTCACGTGTTCTGCGTACAGAACACTGATTGGTTAATAGCAGTCACGTGTTCTGCGTACAGTACACTGATTGGTTAATAGCAGTCACGTGTTCTGCGTAAATTACACTAATTGGTTAATAGCAGTCACATGTTCTGCATACAGTACACTGATTGGTTAATAGCAGTCACTTGTTCTGCGTACAGTACACTGATTGGTTAATAGCAGTTACGTGTTCTGCGTACAGTACACTGATTGGTTAATGGCAGTCACTTGTTCTGCGTACAGTACACTGATTGGTTAATAGCAGTCACGTGTTCTGCGTACAGTACACTGATTGGTTAATAGCAGTCACGTGTTCTGCGTACAGTACACTGATTGGTTAATAGCAGTCACGTGTTCTGCGTACAGTACACTAATTGGTTAATAGCAGTCACGTGTTCTGCGTACAGTACACTGATTGGTTAATAGCAGTCACGTGTTCTGCGTAAATTACACTAATTGGTTAATAGCAGTCACGTGTTCTGCGTACAGTACACTGATTGGTTAATAGCAGTCACGTGTTCTGCGTAAATTACACTGATTGGTTAATAGCAGTCACGTGTTCAGCGTACAGTACACTGATTGGTTAATAGAAGTTACGTGTTCTGCGTACAGTACACTGATTGGTTAATAGCAGTCACGTGTTCTGCGTACAGTACACTGATTGGTTAATAGCAGTCACGTGTTCTGCGTAAATTACACTGATTGGTTAATAGCAGTCACGTGTTTTGCGTACAGTACACTGATTGGTTAATAGCAGTCACGTGTTCTGCGTAAATTACACTAATTGGTTAATAGCAGTCACATGTTCTGCATACAGTACACTGATTGGTTAATAGCAGTCACTTGTTCTGCGTACAGTACACTGATTGGTTAATAGCAGTCACGTGTTCTGCGTACAGTACACTGATTGGTTAATAGCAGTCACGTGTTCTGCGTACAGTACACTGATTGGTTAATAGCAGTCACGTGTTCTGCGTAAATTACACTAATTGGTTAATAGCAGTCACTTGTTCTGCGTACAGTACACTGATTGGTTAATAGCAGTCACTTGTTCTGCGTACAGTACACTGATTGGTTAATAGCAGTCACGTGTTCTACGTACAGTACACTGATTGGTTAATAGCAGTCACGTGTTCAGCGTACAGTACACTGATTGGTTAATAGCAGTCACGTGTTCTGCGTACAGTACACTAATTGGTTAATAGCAGTCACGTGTTCTGCGTACAGTACACTGATTGGTTAATAGCAGTCACATGTTCCGCGTACAGAACACTGATTGGTTAATAGCAGTCACGTGTTCCGCGTACAGTACACTGATTGGTTAATAGCAGTCACGTGTTCTGCATACAGTACACTGATTGGTTAATAGCAGTCACGTGTTCTGCGTACAGTACACTGATTGGTTAATAGCAGTCACGTGTTCTGCGTACAGTACACTGATTGGTTAATAGCAGTCACGTGTTTGCGTACAGTACACTGATTGGTTAATAGCATTCACGTGTTCTGCGTACAGTACACTGATTGGTTAATAGCAGTCACGTGTTCTGCGTACAGTACACTGATTGGTTAATAGCAGTCACGTGTTCTGCGTACAGTACACTGATTGGTTAATAGCAGTCACGTGTTCTGCGTACAGTACACTGAAAAAGTATTGTACTTTTTCAGTGAGGTAACACAATAAAGCTGTGTATCATTGCGATGTTATGTGGTATGTATTATATATACAATTATGTGTTATCTTTTAATAACAATGATAATCTGCACTTGTGACTATCACTTGTATAATATAGCCTCTATTGGGGTTCGTGGTGGTATCAGGTTGCCATGCCGCCATGGTGATGTGGTTATTATAGTCGGTAGTTCATCATCATCACCACTGGTTATGCTTTTAGTTTAATAAACTTTCTATTGATGATGTTGTTATGCTTTTAGTTTTCCAGTCGTAGTTCTGTTTGTCACAAATTATAGGCGCTGGTTTTTGACACAACAAAAACATGTTGGAATATCACGTGACAGGGGGGTTTGTAAAATCGTAGTATAATTTCTAAACACTAGTATATCTATTAAAGTGTTAATACGTGATTATGCAACGGATCCCGAAGGACATTCTGATTTCTGCGGCGTTTTACATAATGAACGAGTAGCTTTGAAACAATTGAAAAATAATTAGGCACCACTAATTGACCACTAATTTACCACTAATTTACCACTAATTTACCACTTAAGATTTAGTGACTGACCTCATCTCGATTACAGACCACAAAAAACCGTTTCTCCTGCAAAGTTCACCTCATCAGTAATTACTTTTTAATTACTCAGAATATTTTTGCTAAGTAAGTAGATTGCTGGAAACGTAAGAATTCTCAATTTCTAACTGTAGTTACTTTGTAGACGTGAGTTCATGGCTGAATTCTCCAAAGACGGACTTAAGATTAGTGTTCTTATAAGTTAGTTCCGTGTTTCGCACGTGTTTCGCACGTGTTTCGCACGTGTTTCGCACGTTAACTGAACTTTGTCGTTGGGAAAATATTGATCTTTTTAACTTAAACTCTGACGTATATCAGAGATCCCTATTTCGCTATTTAGTACATAATATACAATGTACAGTAAAACTTTAACTCTGATTTACCACGCCCCAATTTACTGCAAACCCCGGTTTACCGCGGGCATTTCCTTCCCCAAATAGGACTTGACAATGTGATCAAGTTGACATACATTAAATCAACAACAAAAAACCCAATTCCTCGAACCCCGATTTACCGTGTAGACTTTCCCAAAAACTCAGCGGTAAATAGTAGTTTTAGTGTAGTAAGGAGTTGTAGTAGTTTTGAGCTGAATGTTTTGAGCTGAATGGGATGGTTGTCTGTATTAGGGTGTCTTTTGCTTCCTCTTTTGCTTCCTCTTTTGCTTTCTCTTTTGCTTTCTCTTTTGCTTTCTCTTTTGCTTTCTCTTTTGCTTTCTCCTTTGCTTTCTCCTTTGCTTTCCCTTTTGCTGTCTCTTTTGCTTTCTCCTTTGCTTTCCCTTTTGCTTTCTCTTTTGCTTTCTCTTTTGCATTCTCTTTTGCTTTCTCTCGTTTTGAAGTTATCTTGCTCTTTTAATCGCTGATTACGCTGATCAAAAGTCACTATACAGGAAGATAGTGCATCTTTCTTAGTTACTAAGAGCCCCTTGCTGTAGTTCCTGTAGTTACTGCAGCAATAGTTACTGTAGTAACAAGTACTTGCTGTAGTTACTGTAGTTACTGTAGTAACAGTTTGTTACTTCGAGGATACCGTTACCGTAGTAACTGTAGTTAGGATGCCGTTACCGTGGTCAGAAGTGTGCGACCCCTCAGATGGATACACTCCCCGGTGGAGTGGAACTGAGGAGTTTATAGAGGACATTACCTACAGAATATGGGAGAAAGGGGACCGGGAATTTATAAAGGAAACGTACAGTGATACCTGTCCTGTAATAGCTTTATCAGGTTGTTATAAAGGAAACGTACAGTGATACCTGTCCTGTGATAGCTTTATCAGGTTGTTATAAAGGAAACGTACAGTGATACCTGTCCTGTAATAGCTTTATCAGGTTGTTATCTGTAGTGATACCTGTCCTGTAATAGCTTTATCAGGTTGTTATCTGTAGTGATACCTGTCCTGTAATAGCTTTATCAGGTTGTTATCTGTAGTGATACCTGTCCTGTAATAGCTTTATCAGGTTGTTATAAAGGAAACGTACAGTGATACCTGTCCTGTAATAGCTTTATCAGGTTGTTATAAAGGAAACGTACAGTGATACCTGTCCTGTAATAGCTTTATCAGGTTGTTATCTGTAGTGATACCTGTCCTGTAATAGCTTTATCAGGTTGTTATCTGTAGTGATACCTGTCCTGTAATAGCTTTATCAGGTTGTTATCTGTAGTGATACCTGTCCTGTAATAGCTTTATCAGGTTGTTATAAAGGAAACGTACAGTGATACCTGTCCTGTAATAGCTTTATCAGGTTGTTATCTGTAGTGATACCTGTCCTGTAATAGCTTTATCAGGTTGTTATCGTTACAGTGATACCTGTCCTGTAATAGCTTTATCAGGTTGTTATCTTACAGTGATACCTGTCCTGTAATAGCTTTATCAGGTTGTTATCTTACAGTGATACCTGTCCTGTAATAGCTTTATCAGGTTGTTATTTTACAGTGATACCTGTCCTGTAATAGCTTTATCAGGTTGTTATCGTTACAGTGATACCTGTCCTGTAATAGCTTTATCAGGTTGTTATAAAGGAAACGTACAGTGATACCTGTCCTGTTATAACTTTATCAGGTTGTTATCGTTACAGTGATACCTGTCCTGTAATAGCTTTATCAGGTTGTTATCGTTACAGTGATACCTGTCCTGTAATAGCTTTATCAGGTTGTTATCTTACAGTGATACCTGTCCTGTAATAGCTTTATCAGGTTGTTATCGTTACAGTGATACCTGTCCTGTAATAGCTTAGCTTTATCAGGTTGTTATAAAGGAAACGTACAGTGATACCTGTCCTGTTATAACTTTATCAGGTTGTAATCGTTACAGTGATACCTGTCCTGTAATAGCTTTATCAGGTTGTTATCGTTACAGTGATACCTGTCCTGTAATAGCTTTATCAGGTTGTTATCTTACAGTGATACCTGTCCTGTAATAGCTTTATCAGGTTGTTATAAAGGAAACGTACAGTGATACCTGTCCTGTAATAACTTTATCAGGTTGTTATAAAGGAAACTTACAGTGATACCTGTCCTGTAATAGCTTTATCAGGTTGTTATAAACGTACAGTGATACCTGTCCTGTAATAACTTTATCAGGTTGTTATCGTTACAGTGATACCTGTCCTGTAATAGCTTTATCAGGTTGTTATCGTTACAGTGATACCTGTCCTGTAATAGCTTTATCAGGTTGTTATCGATTGTGCTCTTAGTAAGATGAGATTGAGAACTAACACATATTATACTGCCGTTTACAGCAGTATACTATCAATATACATTCTCCCTGCTTCAATATTGGTGACTAAATTCTCCGAGCAGAAAGTCTTATGTTATATTCGGTTAGGATGCAATTATTTATGAGTCGGATTGTTTATTATTAAAATTTGAGTTGAAAGTAAGTTTTAAGTTAACTTGCAGGTAACTGTGAGGGAGCAGACACGATACTAAAAAACACTACAGTAACTATAGTAACTGTAGTTAACTATAGTAACTATAGTAACTATAGTAACTATAGTAACTATAGTAACTATAGTAACTATAGTAACTATAGTAACTATAGTAACTATAGTAACTATAGTAACTGTAGTTAACTGTAGTAACTGTACTCTGTAGTTAACTGTAGTATCTGTTGCTATAGTAACTGTAATAACATGTTGTTACTTTGACAGGTAACTGCGAGGGAGCAGACACGATACTAAAGAACACTACAGATCTACTGGAACAGTTCCCTGACAGAACGCTCTACCCCTGTGATATACTGTGGAACGGTAACAACACAGCGGGTTACCACTCTTCCCAACTCATCAGTACAAAGTGCACTTATCATCACACTAACTCTGCGGGGAGTCAGTACAGTTGGGCCTCTCACCTCAAGCAAGCTCGGATATGGGTTAGTAATTATAGAAATTATAGAAATTAGAAAGATCTGTACAGTTAAACACGTGTGTCAGATCAAAACTGAAGATTTAAAAGAAAATAATCTCAGTAATCAAACAGAAAATAAAAGGAACGATTTCAAGATGAACTCTGATTACTGAGACTTCAAAAATCACAGCTTACTTTTAGGAAATCTTTCACGAAATAAGTTGCAAGTAACATTTCTAGTCTCAAGAATGTGGGTCTCTTCGAATTATTCACTGTAGTAACTATAGTATTAGTAACTATAGTAACTATAGTATAACTATAGTAACTATAGTAACTGTTGCTATAGTAACTGTAGTAACTGTAGTTTACTGTATTAGCTATAGTAACTGTTGCTATAGGAACTGTAGTAACTGTTGCTATAGTAACTGTAGTAACATGTTGCTATTTTGACAGGTAATAGTACACCGTATAGTAACTATAGTAACTGTAGTAACTGTTACTATAGTAACTGTAGTAACATGTTGTTACTTTGACAGGTAATAGTACACCGTGTAGTAACTATAGTAACTACAGTAACTGTAGTAACTGTTGCTATAGTAACTGTAGTAACATGTTGTTACTTTGACAGGTAATAGTACACCGTGTAGTAACTATAGTAACTATAGTAACTGTAGTAACTGTTGCTATAGTAACTGTAGTAACATGTTGTTACTTTGACAGGTAATAGTACACCGTGTAGTAACTATAGTAACTGTAGTAACTGTTGCTATAGTAACTGTAGTAACATGTTGTTACTTTGACAGGTAATAGTACACCGTGTAGTAACTATAGTAACTATAGTAACTATAGTAACTGTAGTAACCGTTGCTATAGTAACTGTAGTAAAATGTTGTTACAGGTAATAGTACACCGTGTAGTAAAGGACGGTGTGATATTGCGGGAGTGGGTAGTGAGTGATAACAAGAGTCTGTACCAGCAGTTAAGAGTGAACCAGGAGGAGGTGGCTACACGTTGCGCGGAGAAGTGGCTCAAGGATAAACTGGATCCGGAGAAGAGCGAGTTTTGTCATCTCAGGTTTAATTTTAAAATTTAAATTTTCAATTTACAGTTTTATTCCGCATATTTTCAATTCTGATCGAATTTATTGCATCTCATTCAAGTTTTTTTCATTGAACTGATGTTTAGCCAAAACGAGTCCATTTTGGTAATTACATGTAAAATTCCTGTTTAATTCTTAATTCCTATCATCTCAGTTGGCTGGCAGCAGAGTTCCAGCGGGTTCAGAACACGGGGAGTATCGGAGGGGACATCAGGTTAAACCTGCAAAACATAACACCCGCTCAGCGGCCCATGTATCAGTACTTAGGTCAGAGGGTGGCTAAAATTTACCACAGAGCGTGGGGACCTGAGGGGATGGGGTCCCGGGGCAAGTTTGAGGAGCTGGTGAAACTATTGTACCACCCTCACGCCAGGTTTGAAACTATTGTACCACCCTCACGCCAGGTTTGAAACTATTGTACCACCCTCACGCCAGGTTTGAAACTATTGTACCACCCTCACGCCAGGTTTGAAACTATTGTACCACCCTCACGCCAGGTTTGAAACTATTGTACCACCCTCACGCCAGGTTTGAAAATATTGTACCACCCTCACGCCAGGTTTGAAACTATTGTACCACCCTCACGCCAGGTTTGAAACTATTGTACCACCCTCACGCCAGGTTTGAAACTATTGTACCACCCTCACGCCAGGTTTGAAACTATTGTACCACCCTCACGCCAGGTTTGCAACTATTGTACCACCCTCACGCCAGGTTTGAAACTATTGTACCACCCTCACGCCAGGTTTGAAACTATTGTACCACCCTCACGCCAGGTTTGAAACTATTGTACCACCCTCACGCCAGGTTTGAAACTATTGTACCACCCTCACGCCAGGTTTGAAACTATTGTACCACCCTCACGCCAGGTTTGAAACTATTGTACCACCCTCACGCCAGGTTTGAATCTATTGTACCACCCTCACGCCAGGTTTGAATCTATTGTACCACCCTCACGCCAGGTTTGAAACTATTGTACCACCCTCACGCCAGGTTTGAAACTATTGTACCACCCTCACGCCAGGTTTGAAAATATTGTACCACCCTCACGCCAGGTTTGAAACTATTGTACCACCCTCACGCCAGGTTTGAAACTATTGTACCACCCTCACGCCAGGTTTGAAACTATTGTACCACCCTCACGCCAGGTTTGAAACTATTGTACCACCCTCACGCCAGGTTTGAAACTATTGTACCACCCTCACGCCAGGTTTGCAACTATTGTACCACCCTCACGCCAGGTTTGAAACTATTGTACCACCCTCACGCCAGGTTTGAAACTATTGTACCACCCTCACGCCAGGTTTGAAACTATTGTACCACCCTCACGCCAGGTTTGAAACTATTGTACCACCCTCACGCCAGGTTTGAAACTATTGTACCACCCTCACGCCAGGTTTGAAACTATTGTACCACCCTCACGCCAGGTTTGAATCTATTGTACCACCCTCACGCCAGGTTTGAATCTATTGTACCACCCTCACGCCAGGTTTGAAACTATTGTACCACCCTCACGCCAGGTTTGAAACTATTGTACCACCCTCACGCCAGGTTTGAAAATATTGTACCACCCTCACGCCAGGTTTGAAACTATTGTACCACCCTCACGCCAGGTTTGAAACTATTGTACCACCCTCACGCCAGGTTTGAAACTATTGTACCACCCTCACGCCAGGTTTGAAACTATTGTACCACCCTCACGCCAGGTTTGAATCTATTGTACCACCCTCACGCCAGGTTTGAAACTATTGTACCACCCTCACGCCAGGTTTGAAACTATTGTACCACCCTCACGCCAGGTTTGAAACTATTGTACCACCCTCACGCCAGGTTTGAAACTATTGTACCACCCTCACGCCAGGTTTGAAACTATTGTACCACCCTCACGCCAGGTTTGAAACTATTGTACCACCCTCACGCCAGGTTTGAAACTATTGTACCACCCTCACGCCAGGTTTGAAACTATTGTACCACCCTCACGCCAGGTTTGAAACTATTGTACCACCCTCACGCCAGGTTTGAAACTATTGTACCACCCTCACGCCAGGTTTGAAACTATTGTACCACCCTCACGCCAGGTTTGAAACTATTGTACCACCCTCACGCCAGGTTTGAAACTATTGTACCACCCTCACGCCAGGTTTGAAACTATTGTACCACCCTCACGCCAGGTTTGAAACTATTGTACCACCCTCACGCCAGGTTTGAAACTATTGTACCACCCTCACGCCAGGTTTGAAACTATTGTACCACCCTCACGCCAGGTTTGAAACTATTGTACCACCCTCACGCCAGGTTTGAAACTATTGTACCACCCTCACGCCAGGTTTGAAACTATTGTACCACCCTCACGCCAGGTTTGAAACTATTGTACCACCCTCACGCCAGGTTTGAAACTATTGTACCACCCTCACGCCAGGTTTGAAACTATTGTACCACCCTCACGCCAGGTTTGAAACTATTGTACCACCCTCACGCCAGGTTTGAAACTATTGTACCACCCTCACGCCAGGTTTGAAACTATTGTACCACCCTCACGCCAGGTTTGAAACTATTGTACCACCCTCACGCCAGGTTTGAAACTATTGTACCACCCTCACGCCAGGTTTGAAACTATTGTACCACCCTCACGCCAGGTTTGAAACTATTGTACCACCCTCACGCCAGGTTTGAAACTATTGTACCACCCTCACGCCAGGTTTGAAACTATTGTACCACCCTCACGCCAGGTTTGAAACTATTGTACCACCCTCACGCCAGGTTTGAAACTATTGTACCACCCTCACGCCAGGTTTGAAACTATTGTACCACCCTCACGCCAGGTTTGAAACTATTGTACCACCCTCACGCCAGGTTTGAAACTATTGTACCACCCTCACGCCAGGTTTGAAACTATTGTACCACCCTCACGCCAGGTTTGAAACTATTGTACCACCCTCACGCCAGGTTTGAAACTATTGTACCACCCTCACGCCAGGTTTGAAACTATTGTACCACCCTCACGCCAGGTTTGAAACTATTGTACCACCCTCACGCCAGGTTTGAAACTATTGTACCACCCTCACGCCAGGTTTGAAACTATTGTACCACCCTCACGCCAGGTTTGAAACTATTGTACCACCCTCACGCCAGGTTTGAAACTATTGTACCACCCTCACGCCAGGTTTGAAACTATTGTACCACCCTCACGCCAGGTTTGAAACTATTGTACCACCCTCACGCCAGGTTTGAAACTATTGTACCACCCTCACGCCAGGTTTGAAACTATTGTACCACCCTCACGCCAGGTTTGAAACTATTGTACCACCCTCACGCCAGGTTTGAAACTATTGTACCACCCTCACGCCAGGTTTGAAACTATTGTACCACCCTCACGCCAGGTTTGAAACTATTGTACCACCCTCACGCCAGGTTTGAAACTATTGTACCACCCTCACGCCAGGTTTGAAACTATTGTACCACCCTCACGCCAGGTTTGAAACTATTGTACCACCCTCACGCCAGGTTTGAAACTATTGTACCACCCTCACGCCAGGTTTGAAACTATTGTACCACCCTCACGCCAGGTTTGAAACTATTGTACCACCCTCACGCCAGGTTTGAAACTATTGTACCACCCTCACGCCAGGTTTGAAACTATTGTACCACCCTCACGCCAGGTTTGAAACTATTGTACCACCCTCACGCCAGGTTTGAAACTATTGTACCACCCTCACGCCAGGTTTGAAACTATTGTACCACCCTCACGCCAGGTTTGAAATTATTGTACCACCCTCACGCCAGGTTTGAAACTATTGTACCACCCTCACGCCAGGTTTGAATCTATTGTACCACCCTCACGCCAGGTTTGAAACTATTTTACCACCCTCACGCCAGGTTTGAATCTCCACAAACAAACAGCACCGATTGTACGGGGTGGACGGAGTTGACTTGCTTGTATGATACGTTTATTCTTGGTGGCCAGCAGGGTAAAGAAGTGATCATGACACTGGACTGGGTCATCATTAAACCTGGTCACGACAGAAGGAAGATTTTAACGAACGGAGCCACACCAAACGCCTGGAGATACCCCTATCCTGAGGATGTTAACCTCCAAATGGAGCTGGAGAGTAAGTTTGCCAACTCTGACCAGGTATCAGAGTCCTTCACCATGTCTATAAGATGGTGTTTGGTGGGCTACCAGAAGCAAGAAAACCCTGATATTTTAGTGCCGTTGGTGCTGTTGGCGGAGTCGCATTTGGATTGTGTGGGTTTCAGAGTTATACGGGACATTACTGTTTACGATAGGGTGGCTGTAGATGCCCAGGTTAAGCTAACTACTGAAGTTGTTCATAATGTAATAATATAATAACTGTAGTAACTATAGTAACTGTTGCTATAGTAACTGTTGCTATAATAACTGCTATAGTAACTGCTATAGTAACTGTAGATGCCCAGGTTAAGCTAACTACTGAAGTTGTTCATAATGTAATAATATAATAACTGTAGTAACTATAGTAACTGTTGCTATAGTAACTGTTGCTATAGTAACTGTTGCTATAGTAACTGTTGCTATAGTAACTGTTATAGTAACTGTAGATGCTCAGGTTAAGCTAACTACTGAAGTTGTTCATAATGTAATAATATAATAACTGTAGTAACTATAGTAACTGTTGCTATAGTAACTGTTGCTATAGTAACTGTTGCTATAGTAACTGTAGATGCCCAGGTTAAGCTAACTACTGAAGTTGTTCATAATGTAATAATATAATAACTGTAGTAACTATAGTAACTGTTGCTATAGTAACTGTTGCTATAGTAACTGTTGCTATAGTAACTGTTGCTATAGTAACTGTTGCTATAGTAACTGTTGCTATAGTAACTGTTGCTATAGTAACTGTTGCTATAGTAACTGTTGCTATAGTAACTGTAGATGCCCAGGTTAAGCTAACTACTGAAGTTGTTCATAATGTAATAATATAATAACTGTAGTAACTATAGTAACTGTTGCTATAGTAACTGTTGCTATAGTAACTGTTGCTATAGTAACTGTTGCTATAGTAACTGTTGCTATAGTAACTGTTGCTATAGTAACTGTTGCTATAGTAACTGTTGCTATAGTAACTGTTGCTATAGTAACTGTAGATGCTCAGGTTAAGCTAACTACTGAAGTTGTTCATAATGTTCAGTTTTGACATTTTTCAGAGGCGAGGTTTGTAGAACTTTTGAACAATTGGGATAGGAAATTCAGATGTTTAATATACTTTCGATTTAATTGATATTTTTATGGGCTGCTGCACTTTACTTGAGTAAATTACAAGTTTTTAATGAACCCAATCGAAACAAAATAATTTGACATTGTATTGAAGATGAAAATGTATAATATATTACAGGAATGAAATTTTAAAAGAACTCAGCACAATAAAATCAACATTATACTATTATAGTTGAATTAAAAATAAATAACCATTCGTTATTATCATAGCTTTCATTCCCGAATCATAATTTATCCGTGAAGACTTGCCTACTTTAATAGTTCTCACTGACATTATAACTTTAACGTCTCCATTTCTTTCTTTCCAGATTTCACCCCCAGCACACGTTTTCTACATTCCTTTCCCTCTATTCCCCCTGGAGCATACGTTTTCTACATTTCTTACCCCCTTTTCCTTCTGGGCACATCACTTGTCGTTTCTCCACAGAGCCTTGTTTCATACGTTGTCTACAAGCTCTACCCCCTTTTCCTCCTGCACACATCACTTGTCGTTTCTCCACAGCGCCTTGTTTCATACGTTGTCTACAAGCTCTACCCCCTTTTCCTTCTGGGCACATCACTTGTCGTTTCTCCACAGAGCCTTGTTTCATACGTTGTCTACAAGCTCTACCCCCTTTTCCTTCTGGGCACATCACTTGTCGTTTCTCCACAGAGCCTTGTTTCATACGTTGTCTACAAGCTCTACCCCCTTTTCCTCCTGCACACATCACTTGTCGTTTCTCCACAGTGCCTTGTTTCATACGTTGTCTACAAGCTCTACCCCCTTTTCCTCCTGCACACATCACTTGTCGTTTCTCCACAGCGCCTTGTTTCATACGTTGTCTACAAGCTCTACCCCCTTTTCCTCCTGCACACATCACTTGTCGTTTCTCCACAGAGCCTTGTTTCATACGTTGTCTACAAGCTCTACCCCCTTTTCCTCCTGCACACATCACTTGTCGTTTCTCCACAGCGCCTTGTTTAGTACGTTGTCTACAAGCTCTACCCCCTTTTCCTTCTGGGCACATCACTTGTCGTTTCTCCACAGCGCCTTGTTTCATACGTTGTCTACAAGCTCTACCCCCTTTTCCTTCTGGGCACATCACTTGTCGTTTCTCCACAGAGCCTTGTTTAGTACGTTGTCTACAAGCTCTACCCCCTTTTCCTTCTGGGCACATCACTTGTCGTTTCTCCACAGAGCCTTGTTTAGTACGTTGTCTACAAGCTCTACCCCCTTTTCCTCCTGCACACATCACTTGTCGTTTCTCCACAGCGCCTTGTTTCATACGTTGTCTACAAGCTCTACCCCCTTTTCCTCCTGCACACATCACTTGTCGTTTCTCCACAGAGCCTTGTTTCATACGTTGTCTACATTTCTTACCCCCTTTTCCTTCTGGGCACATCACTTGTCGTTTCTCCACAGAGCCTTGTTTCATACGTTTTCTACATTTCTTACCCCCTTTTCCTCCTGCACACATCACTTGTCGTTTCTCCACAGAGCCTTGTTTAGTACGTTGTCTACAAGCTCTACCCCCTTTTCCTTCTGGGCACATCACTTGTCGTTTTTCCACAGCGCCTTGTTTCATATGTTGTTTTCTGCATTTCTTACCTTCTATTCCTTTTTTTCTTGCGCACATCATTTGCGCCCTACAAGCTACTGGTCCATCAGCACAGGGAAATTGTCGCTCTTCAACCTGCTCCCGCAACTGCTCTCGCACCTGCTCTACATCTTCTAACTGCATTTCTTCCTCAAATAACTCCTCGACACTGAAATGTAATTCATCGTAACACAGCGTATGTGATAACGAGCAATTACAGCTGCAATCACAAATAACCTTTTTAAAAGTTTTCGACGATAAGAATAACATGACATTCTGTAAAATAAAACCGGATGATTAATAATACCTTGCACCCTGAGCAGAGGATAGTGCTAGGAGGGTCAGACCCAGAATCACAGTTATCTGCATATCTAAAATACTGTCATGTTATCAATTAACAAGGAATTTAACATTCTGTTTCGGTTTGGTAGGTATAAATCAACAAAGAATTTAACATTCTGTTTCGGTTTGGTAGGTATCAAAGTATCAATTAACAAGAAATTTTACATTCTGTTTCGGTTTGGTGGGTATAAATTAACAACGAACGTAACATTCTGTTTCGGTTTGGTAGGTATAAATTAACAACGAACGTAACATTCTGTTTCGGTTTGGTAGGTGGATAGTGTTGATCCTCAGATTGTAGTCAAATTAAAAGCTCAGCGGTTAACTCCTATATTACAGGGACAAAAGGAAATCGTGGCATGTACGGGATTGCGATTTTTTTCCATTATTTGCGACAAATTTTATATGTCGTCTGTTATAAAAAATGACGAAAAATCGCGGTATCGCGATTTTTGGCCAAAATAATCGCGATTTTCTTTTGTCCCTGCTATATTACTGCTAAATTACTGCTAAGTCCGATAAGGTACTTGGTGGTATAAGCTCACTGGTGACAGATAAGGTACTTGCTGGTATCAGCTCACTGGTGACAGATAAGGTACTTGGTGGTATCAGCTCACTGGTGACAGATAAGGTACTTGCTGGTATCAGCTCACTGGTGACAGATAAGGTACTTGCTGGTATCAGCTCACTGGTGACAGATAAGGTACTTGCTGGTATCAGCTCACTGCTGACAGATAAGGTACTTGCTGGTATCAGCTCACTGGTGACAGATAAGGTACTTGCTGGTATCAGCTCACTGGTGACAGATAAGTTACTTGGTGGTATCAGCTCACTGGTGACAGATAAGGTACTTGCTGGTATCAGCTCACTGGTGACAGATAAGGTACTTGCTGGTATCAGCTCACTGCTGACAGATAAGGTACTTGGTGGTATCAGCTCACTGGTGACAGATAAGGTACTTGCTGGTATCAGCTCACTGGTGACAGATAAGGTACTTGCTGGTATCAGCTCACTGGTGACAGATAAGGTACTTGCTGGTATCAGCTCACTGGTGACAGATAAGGTACTTGGTGGTATCAGCTCACTGGTGACAGATAAGATACTTGCTGGTATCAGCTCACTGGTGACAGATAAGGTACTTGGTGGTATCAGCTCACTGGTGACAGATAAGGTACTTGGTGGTATCAGCTCACTGGTGACAGATAAGGTACATGCTGGTATCAGCTCACTGGTGACAGATAAGGTACATGCTGGTATCAGCTCACTGGTGACAGATAAGGTACTTGCTGGTATCAGCTCACTGGTGACAGATAAGGTACTTGGTGGTATCAGCTCACTGCTGACAGATAAGGTACATGCTGGTATCAGCTCACTGGTGACAGATAAGGTACTTGCTGGTATCAGCTCACTGGTGACAGATAAGGTACTTGCTGGTATCAGCTCACTGGTGACAGATAAGGTACTTGGTGGTATCAGCTCACTGGTGACAGATAAGGTACTTGGTGGTATCAGCTCACTGGTGACAGATAAGGTACTTGCTGGTATCAGCTCACTGGTGACAGATAAGGTACTTGCTGGTATCAGCTCACTGGTGACAGATAAGGTACTTGCTGGTATCAGCTCACTGGTGACAGATAAGGTACTTGCTGGTATCAGCTCACTGGTGACAGATAAGGTACTTGCTGGTATCAGCTCACTGGTGACAGATAAGGTACTTGCTGGTATCAGCTCACTGGTGACAGATAAGGTACTTGGTGGTATCAGCTCACTGGTGACAGATAAGGTACTTGGTGGTATCAGCTCACTGGTGACAGATAAGGTACTTGCTGGTATCAGCTCACTGGTGACAGATAAGGTACTTGGTGGTATCAGCTCACTGGTGACAGATAAGGTACTTGCTGGTATCAGCTCACTGCTGACAGATAAGGTACTTGCTGGTATCAGCTCACTGGTGACAGATAAGCTACTTGCTAGTATCAGCTCACTGGTGACAGATAAGCTACTTGCTGGTATCAGCTCACTGGTGACAGATAAGCTACTTGCTAGTATCAGCTCACTGGTGACAGATAAGGTACTTGGTGGTATCAGCTCACTGGTGACAGATAAGGTACTTGCTGGTATCAGCTCACTGGTGACAGATAAGGTACTTGCTGGTATCAGCTCACTGGTGACAGATAAGGTACTTGGTGGTATCAGCTCACTGGTGACAGATAAGGTACTTGCTGGTATCAGCTCACTGGTGACAGATAAGGTACTTGGTGGTATCAGCTCACTGGTGACAGATAAGGTACTTGCTGGTATCAGCTCACTGGTGACAGATAAGGTACTTGCTGGTATCAGCTCACTGGTGACAGATAAGGTACAGAAGTTATGGCGCTAAAATGTGCTTTATATCGCGAGAGCAATCTCATGGAAAACTTATCTGGATATAAATGAGCTGGTGGTGGCTGCAGATCTCATTATAAGTTAAATACAGCGTTGAGATATCAAATTTATGATTCGCAGAGGCCGACTAAATAAGATTTTAGAGCATAAAATAAAATATTGATCTCGGAAAGTATAAATGAAAATTAAAAACAGGATGAAACTGATCGCAAGAGAATTTGTAATACGCACACTACACGGTAACTCATTGTTTGCTTGATTAGCACTCTCTGACTCTCCCATTACGGAGAGACGAGCCACGGTTTGCTAATAAAATATCTGTGAGCAGGATTCAAGCATATTGATTATTTTCCGCTGGTAGTTTAAGTTTAGTACCTTATTTTATATTATAGTAACCAGTTTAGTAACCATGGTAACCAGTTTAGTAACCATGGTAACCAGTACCGGCTCTCTGAGATGAAATTTAGGACAGGTGTAGTACAAGTTTATCTCTGACGAGATAATCTTTACGGCTCATAGTGTAGAACTTATCAAAACTCAAAAGAGTAAATTGAAATACATGTGGAACAGCACTAGGAGATCAAGTGGTGCCTGCTTTAGTCGTGTAGAAATGAAGCAAACTCAATGAACCGTAAAACCGGAAAAGTAACAGGCCTCAAGAAGTTACTTGAGCATTTATAGAAATTACTTTATCGGAATTTTGATTAGGAA